TTATGCGTTGTCGTTTGAATTTGAGCCACTAGTGAGCTTTAACACCCACCTTTAGTGCTCACATTATGCGAACTTGGTAGCATTCGTGGTGGGGCATATTTGAGCCGCTTTGAACGCACTAAAGACGAGAAGATCATCACCACACAATTGCTGTGTTGCCACGATTGCACCTGGGTGAGTTCGATACACGCTGATTATTTGTCAAATCCATGTCAGACGGATATTTCACATGCACGCTATGTTGGGGTGGAACACGGTTGGAAGAGTAGGTGGGCGTTCTGCGTCGAATATCGCTATCTCTGGATAAGAGTTCACTTTGAGTACGGTAAATATCATGTTGACTCACCCGTTCCGACACCAAGATTGCAGTTCGCTCGGAGTAAGTGTCCTGTTCCGGTCCCGGTGGGTTCACCTCCATCATCGCCAGTAATGGCTTCCATCTACACGCTCTCTACGCAGACTCGAACTGGAACATTCGTTGATGCTTACCCTTCATCAAACCCTTCTCCGGTCGTTTTACTTGATAATTTTCAAATTAGCAAATATTCACATTTACAAGCATGGATGGCACTTGCTCGTTCAGTTAAATGGTACAATTTCTGACAAGGCGCTTAGCATCGTAGTCGCAAACTCGAGAGAACTTTGATCCCTCAGCGTACACAAGAAACAAATATCGGGAAGCCTTTGCATCCAGTTTGGACCTCGACATGTGCGAATCCGCGGGACCCAAAAATTCAAAGATACTTCAGTGTAGGCTTTACTCCTATCAACGCTTGCGAGGCCGAGCGGTGTTCAGGATTCTGTTGTTGATATGCATAGCTGTCATCATTATCCTATCTACAATTGACGTTAAAATGTTTCGCGTGAAAATTCGAGCGTGCCATTTCCGTTAGTGCCGTTCGGCGAGCCTGTTTTGCTGGGGCGAATACGGTGCACTGATCTGATGTACAATAATTGAATGTGCGCTAAACGAAATGGATCTCCAGCTCCAGTATTTTCCTTCATTGTCGCTTTGAATGCACTTCCTCTTCTCCCATACTGATTCTTCACTAACTCGCCACACTCCTCGACTCTGTCCACGGTAAGAAATCTTGGCGATCCTCACTCATATGAAATTTTGCTCCACTTTCCAGAAGCCATACAGTTTTCCCATCAACGGTCCCACTTGTTGCTGAGAATAAAATCTCGTTGTGACTTCTGCTCTTCCGTTGAGAGCACGGCTACTTCTTGTGACAAAATTGTTTGCACAAGAAACATTCTCCTGGAACCCGCTTGGCTCTTATTTGTTTCTTCGACGATTCTTCCGACTCGCTAAGCCACGGTGTCTACCATTACCACGACACTTAATACCACCTCGTCGATTGCCACGGCCATCACTTCCGTGCGTCCTCGCCCAAGAGCCTCCCCCTTTCCTTCACGGTCATTACCTCGTACTCACGTCGAAGCATTTCCTTTGCATCCAGTAGCGTGACGCGGTCTCGCGACTCGATGATTCTTATCATGGCGTCGTACTCCGAGGGCAAGCTACCAAGCAGTATAACAACCTTCTTGTCTTCAGACAGCCCTTCTCCCACCGCCACTAGTTAAGAGCATAAGTCAACAAAGTGAATGATGTGCTTTATCAAATCACCTCCCGAAGGAAGCAAAAACTTATACCCGATTGTGTAGACTCTGCTTTTTTAAAGAATGTGCGTAGAATCTCCCATTCTTTCAAAGTAGAACCTAAGCTTCAAATCATTGATACCCGATTGTGTAGACTCTGCTTTTTTAAAGAATGTGCGTAGAATCTCCCATTCTT